AGCTTCGTGAGTGGTTGTTTCAGCGTGGGGCTGCCCGTATGTCATTCGCACGGGTGACCGTGCTGGTCAGACATGCGGGAAGCCTCACACTCAGCACCGCTGCTTCTCCCGCCTCGACGACCCTTGGCGTGCTGAGTTTGGTGACGAGGTCGAGCGCCCCCACTGGGCAGAGCTGCTTAGGTCTGGAGTTGCGATCTTTGACCTAGACTATGATGCTATCCTTGCTGCTATGTATGCTTTTTCTGCTAGTGCTGAGGGTGACTGTTACCGGTGTGTGCCGCCTGACCCAGGTATAGAGGCTGCTGCTCTAGGTGCTAGAGAGTCTTCTCTCCCTGGTACTGCGCCTGCTGAGGCCTTGCACACCTTCACGCTGGATTCAGGTGCCTCACACTGTTTCTTTCATGACAACACCACCCTCACTCCTCTCCCTGCACCTGTCCCGGTCAGACTGGTTGACCCCTCCAAGGGCCGAGTCGTTGCCCGTTCCTCCACTGTTCTCCCGTGTCCGGCGGTTCCGTCCCGCTCACTATCAGGTCTTCACCTCCCCTCGTTCTCCACGAAATTGGTGAGTACCGCTGCCCTCTAGGACTCAATGGCCACTACCACCACTCCTGGGGGTCAGCGTGTGTCGATCTGCACGTGTACACGGACGGGTCGTCACCTGGCCACGTTCACTTGTCGGCCAGGGTCGAGTCTGTACACACTGGCTACAGAGCCTCCTCAGGTAGCTGCGTCTGCCCAGGTGTCCGCGTCAGGTTAGGCAACACTACCTTGCTCGTGTCGCCTCCTGTCGTACCAGACTCTCCTCTGGCACCACCGCCTTGGTCACCCCTCCCTACCACGCCTGCGTGGCATGCACTCCCGCCTCCTTGTCTCTGGTCTTCCCAGGTCTCTGCCTCCCCTCCCGCCCTCGCCTGCCCCGCCCTGCCTTCCTTGTGTCGAGGGGCGGCAGCGCGCCGCTCCTCACTCCTCGTTTCCCCCGACGAGTTCTCCCCTGCAGACTCTCTACATGAACGTGTGGGGCCCAGCTAGCGTCAGTGGACAGGGCCGCGAGTGCTACTTTCTGCTTGTCGTTGACGACTACACGCGGTACACCACGGTCTTCCCCTTGAGCAGCAAGGGTGAGGTCCCTGATGTCTTGATCCCTTGGATCCGCGCATTCCGTCTCCAGCTCTGCGAGCGGTTCCGTGAGGACCTTCCGGTCCTGATTCTGCACTCTAACAGAGGTGGTGAGTTCTCCTCCGACCTCTTGCGGGACTTTTGTCGTGGGGAGGGCATTCTCTCTTCGTTCACGCTTCCGGACTCCCCTCAGCAAAATGGGATTGCTGAGCGCCGCATTGGCTTAGTCATGGAGGTCGCTCGTACCTCCATGATCCATGCGGCTGCTCCCCATTTTCTGTGGCCGTTTGCGGTCCAATACGTTGCGCATCAGCTCAACCTCTGGCCCCGTGTCTCCTTGCCGGAGACCTCGCCCACACTGCGTTGGACGGGGAAGGTTGGCGATGCGTCGGTGTTCCGGGTCTGGGGTTCTCGTGCCTTTGTTCGTGATTCGTCCGCGGACAAGCTCTCCGCCCGTGCTATCCCCTGCGTCTTCCTTGGCTTTCCCCCTGACGCGCCTGGTTGGTAGTTTTACCACCCCACCTCGCGTCGTGTCTTCCCTACTTAGGACGTCACGTTTGACGATTCGGTTCCCTTTTACCGTCTCTTCCCCTACCGCTCTGCCCCTCCCCCGCCCCCGCCGCTCTTCCTTGCTCCCGGTCCCCCTCCGGTAGACCCCCTCCTGCCCCAGGGTCCTGCTCCCTTAGGTGTGTCTCAGGTAGACCCTCTCCCTGGTAGTGTGCCTGTTGAGGTAGCTGGCGACTCAGGTGCTGCTCGAGGTGCTGCGTCTTGGGGTGCGGAGCCTAGGGGCGCTGAGTCTGAGGGTGCTGGGTCTGGGGGTGATGAGCCTGGGGGTGCGTAGTGTGGGGGTGCTGAGCCTGCGGGTGTGGAGCCTAGGGGTGCTGAGCCTGAGGGTGTTGAGCCTGGGGGTGCTGAGTCTGAGGGTGCGGAGTCTGGGGGTGCTGAGCCTCGGGGTGCTGCTTCGTCTGGAGGTCCTTCTGGTGCTTTGCCGAGACTGTCTCCGCGGCCGGAGCCTCTCTCCTCGCAGCAGCTGCATGAGTGGCTTGTTCGGCGCGCACGCCTTCGGAGTGGAGCTGTCGGAGCTGGAGCCACTGGAGCTACTGAAGACCCTAGAGCTGGAGGTGCTGGAGTTACTGCTGGAGCTGGTGGTACTGGAGGTACTGCGGCTGCTGGTCCTGGAGGTGCTCGTACCAGGGGTACTGGAGCTGCCGGGGCTGGTGGTGTAAGGGGCGCTGGAGCTAGAGACCCTACGGACCCTGGAGCTGCTAGGGCTGGAGGCACTGGAGCTGGAGGCACTGGCGCTCGTAGCGCTGGAGCTGGAGGAGCTGGAGCTGGATGCACTTGCGCGAGAGGCGCTGGAGCTGGAGGAGCTGGAGCTGTTGACCCTGGAGCTGGAGGTGTTGGCGCTGGGGGTGCTGGTGGTACTGGTGCTGGAGGCACTTTGCGGCCGTGACCGTACTTCGTTCCCCTACTTCAGCAGGTTCTTGGTGTCCCGTCTTCTACTAGCCTTACTCCTCCCCTACTGTGTCCACAGCCTGACCAGTCGCAGCCGCCGTTACAGCCAGCCTCCCCACTGCCTTCTCCTTCTCCTTACACTGAGCAGTACGGCGGTCTTACAGAGCGTCATGAGCCTGCATCTTGTCCTGTCTCGCCTGTTCGCACTGCTCGTCTCGTTCCTCGTTCGCGTCCTCCTCCTGTCCCCGGCACGCACGCTATGGCACTTCGTGTCGTCCCTGACCCTGAGTCTGACCTTGCTCGTGCTGCCAGTCCCACTGTCTCTCGTCTCCTCGCCACTGTTGTCACCGACCCTTCTTTTGAGCCCACTGTAGCGTCTGCCCTCGTTGCTGAGCTGCTTGACTTTGCTGCTGCCTGTCGTCTAGACTACGCCATTTCTCTTGTTGTTGAGTCTGCGTCTGCCAGTCCTCCGTCCGTCGGGGGTGAGTGTGCTCTTGGCACGAAAGTCCTTGAGGACAGGCAGGAGGACTTTGAGTGTCTTGCAGCTGCTGTACCTCGTTTCGCTTCCATGCTGCTTGCCCTTGAGGGAGACCCGGATGCACCAGACATCCCGACCCCGTGCTCTTATGCAGAGGCGATTACGGGTCCTTACTCCTCTCAGTGGCAGGCATCCATGGATGCCGAGATGGCATCCTGGAAGTCCACAGGCACCTACGTCGACGCAGTTCCCCTGTCTCGGGCGAACATAGTCGATGGCATGTGGATTTTCAGGGTGAAGCGGCCGCCGGGTTCTCCGCCTGCCTTCAAGGCGCGTTACGTTGCTCGAGGCTTCAGTCAGCGACAGGGGGTCGACTACTTCCAGACCTTCTCCCCCACCCCGAAGATGACTACTCTTCGGGTGTTGCTGCATGTCGCTGCTTAGCGTGACTACGAGTTGCACTCGTTGGACTTCAGTTCAGCTTTCTTGCAGGGCAGCCTGCATGAGGAGATCTTGCTACGCCGCCCACCTGGCTTCACTGGGTCGTTTCCTGCAGGTACTCAGTGGAGCCTCCAGCGGCCAGTCTACGGTCTCCGCAAGGCGCCACGCGAGTGGCACGACACACTGAGGACTACACTTACGGCTCTTGGGTTTGCTCCTGCTACTGCTGACCCGTCGCTGTTTCTACGCACCCACACCTCGCTGCCGCCGTTCTACGTCCTCGTGTACGTCGACGACCTCGTCTTTGCCACTGCTGACACTGAGGCACTGACCCTTGTGAAGTTGGAGCTGCAGAAGAGACACATCTGCACTGACCAGGGTGAGCTGCGCAGCTATCTTGGCTTGCAGATCACCCGGGACAGAGCACGGCGCACCATCATGCTTACTCAATCACACATGGTGCACCAGGTCCTTCAGCGCTTCGGCTTCCAGTTCTCCTCGCCACAGCCCTCTCCTCTGTCTACCGGCCACTCGCTCTCAGCTCCACCTTCGAACGAGTCCGTAGAGCCGAGTGGTCCATACCCAGAGCTTGTGGGTTGCCTCATGTACCTGATGACGTGCACATGACCTGACCTCGCGTACCCTCTCAGCCTCCTGGCTCGCTACGTGGCTCCCGGTAGGCACCGAAAGGTGCACTGGGATGCTGCGAAGAGGGTACTGCGTTACTTGTGCAGTACGTCAGGCATGGGGCTCATGCTTAGAGGACGAGGTCCAGTTGTCCTCACTGGTCGGCGCAGCCAGATCTCCTGTTGCTGCTGTTGTTGTTGCCGTTGCTGCTGCTGTAGTTGCTGCTGTTGTTGCTGCTGCTGCTGCCTCTGCTGTTGTTGCTGTTGTTGTTGCTGCTGTTGTTGTAGCATCAGCTGTCGTTGCTGTTGCAGCTGCTGCTGCTGCTGGTATTGTTGTTGTAATTGCTGCTGCTGCTGCTGCTGCTGCTGCTGCTGCTGCTGCTGCTGCTGCTGGTGCTGCTTCTGGAGCTGCTGTTGCTGCCCTCCCTGCTGCCGAGCCTTGGCCTGCAAGGCCTCCTGTTGCCTCTGCGCTTGCACTTGCCTCAACACCTGTAGCACACCCCCCCCAGTAGCACCAGTACCAGCACCAGCAGCACCAGCAGCACCACCGGCAGCAGCACTGGCAGCAGCACCTGAAGCAGCGCCTGACGCAGCAGCAGAAGCAGCACCAGCAGAACCACCACCTACACCACCACCAGCAGCATTAGCAGCAGCAGCACCACCAGCAGTACCACCACCCCCAACAACACCCCGAGGAGTACCAGTACCAGCAGCAGCGCCACCAGCAGTACCACCTGCACCAGATGCAGCCCGCCCCAGAGGCGCCTGCAGCAGCTTCTTCTGAGCAACCAGCTGGGAGATCGTTGCTGCAGGAGCCTGCTGCCCCGCTGCTGACCTGCCGACCTGCCCTGCAGGGGCCTGCTGCCCTGCTGCCGCCCTGCCTAGCGGGAATGACGAGGACCGTGCAAGGAACGGAGCTGCTGGCTTGGCGGGCAGGGAGATCGACGTGGAGGATGGAAGTGACTGCTTTTGCGGCGCTGCAAGGATTGATAGGGGCTGCTGGGTCTGCTGGGGCTGCTTTGGTGCACCTGCTGCTGCTGCTGCTGCTGCTGCTGCTGCTGCTGCTGCTGCTGCTGCTGCTGCTGCTGCTGCTGCTGCTTGTGCCTGCCTGGATTCAGTCGCCCCTGCTGCTGCCTGCTACACACCAGTTGCCGCAGCTGCCTGCTGTGCCTCCGCTGCCCCAGCTGCTGCCTGCTGGGGGGGTGTTGCTGTTGGGGGTTGCTTCCCTGCACTGACCGCTGAGACTCCCTGAGAGAACGGAGCTGCTGCTGCTGGGGGTTGCGGTAATACACTCGTCCTTGCATTTGCCCGATCTGAAGCTGCTGTTCCTGGCTGCTGAGGTGCTGCTGCTGTTGGGGGTTGCTTCCCTGCACTGACCGCTGTGACTCCCTGAGAGCCCTGAGCTGCTGCTGGGGGGTGCAGGGAAGGGAAGGGAGCGTGTGGCCTTGAGGCAACAGCACCAGCAGGCGCTTTTGTTGCCTGCCCAGCGGTTGCTTTCTGCGCTACAGCCTGCTGGGCTGCAGCATGCGGTGCTACAGGCTGCTGCGCCCCCCCTGCTTGTATTACACCCTTCTGCGCTACAGGCGGGGGTTTCTGCGCTACAGCCTGCTGTTGCACTCCCCCTGATCGTATTACAACCTTCTGCCCTGGTGCTAGTGGTGGTGGTGTTGGTGCCTTTATCGGGTGTGCTACAGCTGTTGGTGGGGCTACAGCAGTCGGAGGAGCTACAGATTTCACGAGGGCTACGTTATTCCGTGAATCTGTAGCAGACGGGCCGGCTGTAGCGGAGTGAGGCCCTACACGAGACTGCCCAGCTGTAGCAGACTGTGTATTTGCAGCAGATGAGCCGGCTGTAGCACTCTGTGCAGCTACAGCCACCGGATTTGCACCCATTCTTGCAGCTGCTATAGAAGCTACAGCTGCTGCAATCGCAGCTGCAGCTTCTTCCCGCTTTGCACCTTCTATAGCCGACCCTGCTGTCCCACCTGCTACGGCTGGCCCTGCCGTCCCTCCTGCTACAGCCGGCCCTGGCTTTCCTCCCGCTACAGCTAGTCCAGGCTTCCCTCCTGCTACAGCCGGCCCTGGCTTTCCTCCCGCTACAGCTAGTCCAGGCTTCCCTCCTGCTACAGCCGGCCCTGGCTTTCCTCCCACTACAGCTAGTCCAGGCTTCCCTCCTGCTACAGCCGTTCCTGGATTTGCACCTGCTACAGCTGGCGCTGACTTTCCTCCCGCTACAGCTGCAGGTTGCACTCCCAGCCTGCCAGCCGCTACAGCCGTGGCAGGGGCAGAACTTTCTTTACCTCCCTGTGTCCCTGCAGCTACAGTCCCCAGACCAGGCTTTCCTGCAGTCACAGCTGCTACAGCTGGTCCTGGCTTCCCACCAGCTACAGTTGTCCCTGTGTTTGACCGATTTGCACTTGCTGCAGTAGCAGCATTTTCACCCGCTATGGCTGCCGCATTTCTACCCGCTACAGCTGCCAGCTGAACTCCCGTTCTGCCAGCTGCTACAGCTGGAACAGTCTTTGCAGCTGCTTCTGCCGCTGCTGCTACAGCTGAAGGCTGTAGTTTCGCTGCTACAGCTGAGGGCTGTGGTTTCGCTGCTACAGCTGAGGGCTGTGGTTTCGCTGCTACAGCTGAAGGATGTGGCTTTGCTGGCTGCCCTTTGCCTGTTGACGGCTGGACTCCAGTGGGAGCTGTAGCAGGGGCAGGAACACGGGCAGGAGTAGGGGCAGGAGCACGGGCAGGTGTAGGGGCAGAAACACGGGCAGGTGTAGGGGCAGAAACACGGGCATGCACAGGGGTAGAAACAAGGGCAGGCACAGGGGCAGAAACACGGGCAGGCGTAAGGGCGGGAGAAGGGGTAGATGCAGATGCACTTGCGCTTGAAGAAGCAGCAGCGGGAGAGGTGGCGGCAGTAGGGGGAGGGGTGGGTGATTTGGCTGCTGCTGTTGCTGCAGGGGAGACAGTGGTCGGTTGGGGTGTTGGTGGAGCCTTGGCTGACGAAGGAATTGGTGGAGTGGGAGCTTTGGTTACTGCAGCGGCAGGCTGGGGTGTTGGTGGAGGCTTGGCCGCACCAGCAGTTGCAGGCTTGGCAGCTGGAGGTTTGGCAGCAGCAGCCGGCGACACTGCCACAGCAGGTTTGGAAACAGCTGCAGCAGTAGCAGGCTTGGAAACGGCAGTGATAGGTTTGGAAACAGCAGCTGCAGCACCAGTAGAAGGGGGGTTGGGTGCAGCAGCATTCGCACCAGAAGGACGGGAAGCGGCAGATGCAGCAGCAGGCGCGGGGGCAGGACTAACGAGTGGAGCAGTGACAGGCGGAGCCACAGTGGGTTGAGAGGAAGATGGAGTGGGTTTGGAGGGAGGCAGAGGGAGAGGAGGAGGGTGGGTTGACTGAACTCGGCTGACTTTCGAAGCTGCCACTGCACTGGAACTAGCACTAGCACTGGCACTGGCACTGGCACTAGGACTCGTACTAATAGTAACTTTGGCCGGAACTGCACTGTTGGCAGGATTGGGCGTTGATTCTGCTCCTGCTGGTGCTGCTTTACCCATGGAGCTGGGGGCAGGAGGGGATGAGGGCTTGGTTGCTGGCGCTGCTGGTGCCCCTGCTGGCGCTGATTTACCTGTGGAACTGGGGGCAGGAGGAGATGAGGGCTTGGGCACTGCTGTTGCAGGCGTTGACGCTGCTGCTCCTGCTGGCGCTGCTTTACTTGTCAAGCTGGGGGAGGGGGAAGATGAGGGTTTGGGTGCTGCTTGCGGAGCTGCTGGCGTTGCTGCTGGCGTTAGTGTTACTGAACCTGCTTTCCCTGGGCCGCTGGGAGGAGGAGCAACGGCAGGCGACGGTTTGAGAGCCGCTGCTTGCGGAGCTGCTGGCGTTGCTGCTGGCGCTGCTGGCATTGGTGTTACTGAACCTGCTTTCCCTGGGCCGCTGTAAGGAGGAGCAAGGGGAGGCGATGGCTTGAGTGCCGCTGTTGGCGGAGCTGCCTTCCCCGTGCTACTGGGAGAGGCAGTAACTGATGATTTTGGTGCTGCTGCCAGCGGCGCCACCGCCATTGCTGCTACTGCTACTGGGGCTGTTGCTGCCGCTGCTGCAGGCGCTACTACTGGCGCTGCTGCTCCTGCTGTTGCTGCTGCTGGCGTGGCTGCTGGGGCGGCTGCTGGCGTGGCTGCTGGCGCGGCTGCTGGCGGAGATGCTTTCCCTGGGCCGCTGGGAGGAGCCAGGGGAGGAGGTGGCTTGAATGCTGCAGCTGGCGGTGCCTTCGCTGTCGCCAGCAACGGTTTGGTGGGAGACAGGGGGAGAGGTGGAGGCTGGGAGAGAGGTGGAGTTTGGGAGAGAGAGGAAGGCTGGGGACGAGGGGGGGGCAGGGGAAGAGGCGGGGGCTGGTGCATTGAGGGTTTGGCTGCAGAAGGTGGTAAAGGCTTGGTGGCAGCAGGAGGCTTAGGTTTCAAAGGAGGACTGGTAGGGCCTGTGGGAGCAGTGGGGGCAGGTGCAGGCGCAGGTGCACTTGTCGCCTTGGATGCAGGTGCGGATGCAGGTGCGGATTCAGGTGCGGATGAAGGCGGAGGGGGGACAGCGGTGGGCCCTGCTGATTCACGTGCACCTACGACCTTCTCTGGACCCTTCTCTGCACCTTTCTGTGCACCCTTTTCCCTTACAGCCACGCCCTGCTCGCTTGCCTTCGCGTCTCCACCTTGAACGCCCTCCTTCCCGCTCCCTCCCTTCATGTTCCCCGCAGCACTCGCGTCCGCTTTCGCGCTCGCGCCTCCTTCCGCGTTTGCGTCTCCTTTCGCGCGCGCGTCGCTAACGCCTCTCTTTCCGTCCGCGCTCACGCTGCTTACACTAGCGCGCCCTGCAAGAAGGCTGTACTGAAGTCCAGGGAGTGTAACTCGTAGTCACCCGAAGAGTAGTCATCTTCGGGGTGGGGGAGAAGGTCTGGAAGTAGTCAACTCCCTGTCGCTGACTGAAACCTCGAGCAACGTAGCGCGCCTTAAAGGCAGGCGGAGAACCCGGCGGCCGCTTCACCCTGAAGATCCACATGCTATCGACTATGTTCACCCCAGGTGGGGGAACCTCGTCGACGTAAGTGCCTGTGGACTTCCAGGATGCCATCTTGGCATCCATAGCTGCCTGCCACTGAGGGGAGTAAGGACCCGTAATCGCCTCTGCGTAAGAGCGCGGGGTCGGGATGTCTGCAGCATCTGGGTCTCCCTCAAGGGCAAGCAGCAAGGAAGCGAAACGAGGTATAGCAGCTGCAAGACAATCAAAGTCCTCCTACCTGTCCTCAAGGACGTCCGTGCCAAGAGCACACTCAACCCCGACGGACGGAGGACTGGCAGACACAGACTCAGCAACTAGAGCAGTGGTGTAGTCAAGACGGCAGGCAGCAGCAAAGTCAAGCACCTCAGAAACGAGAGCAGAAGCAGCAGTAGACTCAAAGGACGGGTCAGTGACAGCAGTGGCAAGAAGACGAGCGACAGTGGGACTGGCAGCACGAGCTCGGTCAGACTCAGGGTCAGGGACCTCAGGAAGAGAGGACTCAGGAGGAGCAGGCAGAGGAACACGCAGTGGAACAGAGGAAGGACGGAGTGCCATGGTGTGCGTGCCTGGGACAGGAGGAGGACGCGAACGAGGAGCGCGACGAGCAGTGCGAACAGGCGAGACAGGACGAGACGCAGGCTTACGGCGCTCTGTAAGACCTCTAGACTGCTCAGTGTAAGGAGAGGGAACAGGCAGTGGGGAGGCTGGCTGTAACGGCGGCTGCGACTGGTCAGGCGGTGGACACAGGAAGGGAGGAGGAAGACCAGTAGAAGACGGGACACCAAGAACCTGCTGAAGCAGGGGAACGAAGTACGGGCGCGGCCGCACAGTGCCTCCAGCACCTCCAGCTCCAGGGACAACAGCTCCAGCTCCTGCAGCTCCAGCGCCTTCTGCGCCAAGGCCTCCAACTCCAGCTACACCAGCTCCAGCGCCTCCGGCGCCAGCTGCTCCAGGCTCCGTAGGGTCTCCAGCTCCAGTAGTAACAGCAGCACCTCCAGCTCCAGCGTCTCCAGGCTCGCCAGCCCAAGGGGCTCCACTCCGACGGTGTGGGCGCTGAACAAGCCACTCACGCAGCTGCTGCGAGGACAGTCGCGGTGAAGCACCAGCAGGACCTCCACACGAAGCAGCACCCCGAGGCTCAGCACCCCCAGACTCCGCACCCTCCGACTCAGCACCCCCAGGCTCCGCACCCTCCGACTCAGCACCCCCAGGCTCAACACCCTCAGGCTCAGCACCCCCAGACCCAGCACCCTCAGACCCCGCACCCCCCGGCTCCGCACCCCGAGACACAGCACCCCCAGACGCAGCACCTGGAGCAGCACCTGGGACGACAGCTACCTGAACAGGCGCAGTACCAGGGAGAGGGTCTACCTGAGACACTCCCGAGGGAGCAGGACCCTGGGGTGGAAGGGGGTCTACCGGAGGTGGACCGGGAGCAAGGAAGAGCGGCGGGGGCGGGGAAGGGGCAGAGCGGTAGGGGAAGAGACGGTAGAAGGGAACCGACTCGTCGAACGTGACGTCCTGAGAAGGGAGGACACGGCGCGAGGTGGGGTGGTAAAACTGCCAGCCAGGCGCGTTAGGGACAAAGCCAAGGAAGACGCAGGGAATGGCGCGGGCGGAGAGCTTGTCCGCGGACGTATCGCGAACAAAGGCACGAGAACCCCAGACCCGGAACACCGACGCATTGCCAACCTTCCCCGTCCAACGCAGTGTGGGCAAGGTCTCCGGCAAGGAGACACGGGGCCAAAGGTTGAGCTGATGCGCAGCGTACCGGACCGCAAACGGCCACAGAAAATGGGGAGCGGCCGCATGGATCATGGAGGTACGAGCGACCTCCATGACTAAGCCAATGCGACGCTCAGCAATCCCATTTTGCTGAGGGGAGTCCGGAAGCGTGAACGACTGGAGAATGCCCTCCCCACGACAAAAGTCCCGCAAGAGGTCGGAGGAGAACTCACCACCTCTGTCAGAGTGCAGATGCAGGACAGGAAGGTCCTGGCCGAACCGCTCGCGGAGCTGGAGACGGACTGTGCGGATCCAAGGGATCAAGACAGCAGAGACTTCACCCTTGATTCGCAAGGGGAAGACTGTGGTGTACCGCGTGTAGTCGTCAACTACCAGCAGAAAGTAGCGCTCGCGGCCCTGTCCACTGACGCGGGCTGGGCCCCACACGTCCATGTGGAGGGTCTGCAGGGGAGCAGTCGTCGGGGGGAACGAGGAGGAGTGAGGAGCGGCGCGCTGCCGCCCCTCGACACAAGGAAGACAGGGCAGGGCAGGGGAGGGCGGCAGGGGAGGCAGAGACCTGGGGAGACCAGAGACAAGGAGACGGGAGTGCATGCCACGAAGGCGTGGCAGGGAGGGGTGACCCAGGCGGTGGTGCCAAAGGAGAGTCTGGTGCGACAGGAGGCGACACGAGCAAGAGGCGGCTACCTGACCTGACGCG